TATCGTCTAACATGGCTATGGTGCAAGTAAAAACGATTTTTCTCAACACAAGAAAGAAAAGGAAAAAAACAGCGATGCGTAACTTATTGACTGGTGGTATGATGAATCGAATGAAATAAAATATTTGCCTTTATCACTTACATAGAAAAACTAGATAGGTTTATAAAATCGACCTATGCGTAGTGTACTCGACACGATTCGAAGCGCCACCACCAATAGAGTTTTGAGTCTAGAGTCGATTTAACAACTTTTTAATACTCAGTTTTTGATGCTGAATCTAAAAAATTTATTTTCAGAAGCTGGAGAAAAGAGTGAAGTAGAAAATTTGTCATATTTTGACAAAAGATGTGTTTTTCGAAAAAATCGGCATCCTTCAAATATTTCGTAGTTTTCGACTAGAAAGAAGTATTTGCTAAGGCTAAAAAATAGTTTTTCGTGATCAGCAGCTCACGTTCTATCAAATAATATAAAAAAACGCAAAAGAAAATCTTTTACTGAAAATTCGCATTACTGGCACCATACAAAAATTCATTTTTTTTAAAACTTTAATCGTTTTGTATAAGCTTTATAAATCTATCAATATATGAAAAAAAATATCACTCATTTTCTGATGTTTTCATCATTCAATCGATTCAGATTGTTTCCCCGCTGAATTATGAATTTTCAAAAAAAAAAAATTGTGACAAATTGTGTAAAAAGACCATTTTTAGTAATTTTTGAGCTATAGACGCTACCCATAATACGGTGTGGAAATAGATGCTCTGATATATTCAAAAGAAGAAATCTCAACTTTCGAAAAAAAAAATACAATTTTGAATACTAATGAAGTTTTGTCAGAATTTTTAAATTTCTAAAGAGATTTGTGGGTACCATTTTATCCAACAGACGAACTGAACAGAAAAGCTGAGCTTTCAAGTTTTCAATCAATCAAAATAGTGAAAAATTTCGAACGGAAAAGATGGTGGAAATCAAAAGATCTCTAAGTTGATTTGTACTTTAATATCCTATGATAAAAATGGATGCTCGGATTCAGTGTCGAAACCAAATCGAATGATAAGAATACAAATGAAGTCAATTATAAAATGATTTCTTTTAATATTTATAGAAGAAAACTTCAACAGATGTGACACAAACGTGATGCTTTTCGTAAATTTCTGGTGTTTTTGTCGAAGACAAAAACTATTAACGAAATATTTATTTCTTCTTCTATTTCTTCTTCTTATCCTTCCTCTTCAACAATTTTTATCATCAATAATAGTTTCCAGAAAAAATTCTCAGAAAAAGACGCAATTTGTTAACCAACGAATGGAACAAATGTTTGAAGAAGAAACTTTGACTCGTGAACATATTGAACAAGCAGAGAATATGAGAAAAATTCTAGATGACAAAAAAAGTGTAAGTGCCAATATTAGCAATCTAACAGCGAGTAAGTGTAATAGTTCTGTCTAAGTTCTTTGAAATAGGTTTTTAATGTTCATTCTAGAAAGAATAGGCTTTCCAAAGATAATTTACTATATGCGTCATTTTCAAGCTCAACACAATGTTGATGCAAGGTATGTCAATATATTGGATCCAGATTTAACGGAATATGGATTTGAGCAAGGTTCAAAAATAACATTTGATGATGATCAATTAGAGTTAATCATATGTTCGCCACTCTCACGTACAATTCAAACATATTTATCCATATTTAATCGCACGGAAAGGCGTCAACGAATACCATTTAAATTGGATGCTGATTTACAGGTACGAAACTATGATGTCAGATAACAGAAACGGTTGAATGTCGGTCACATTGTTGATAGTAGCAGATTTTTTCTTGTCTTTTGACGTGACGTAGCTTTCAAACAGTTTTCAAAAGAAGTTTTTTGATCCGTATTTCTATCTGCTTCAGGAAATCGAGGGAAATCTAGCCGATACTCCTCGTTCAAAAACTGATTTGAAACAAAAGTTTTCTCAATTATCATCAGCCATCGATCGTGATTTAGACGAGAATTTTAACGATAAAAACAATCCGTTATACAGTGCATTGCCGAGCAAAGTAAAAGAACGTGTCTCTAGATTTCACCAACGTTTATTAAAACAACATAAGGAAACACATATTATGATTATTACACATGCTGGGTGGTTGCGTATAGCGCTAAATGGAAAAATGTTTATGAACGGACAAATTGAAAAGCGAATGTATAAACACGGTGATGACGTGGCCAGCAACAGCTAAACAATTATAAAATACGAAAAAGTGGCACACGCTTTATTTTCTTTATCGATTTTATGCTCTTGTATTCGAACTGAGGCTATAAAAAAAAATAGCTTGTTTTCAACACGATACAAAACGAGGTATTGATCAGTAAAAGAAATCAAACAGGCAGATCTGTTTGCTCATCTTATTTGAGAATCTATCTAAATGAG